TGCACCTCACCCCAGGGAGGGAGCCCTAAAGCCTGTGGGATTTTGACATTAGGTTCAGCAAGGCTAAACCTGCATCAGTGGCCATGGGAACTCCAACCAGGGGCTGCAGACCAACAGGCAGAGCAGCTCCAGCTACTGCGGGAAATAAGTGTTTGGAGAATTCATTGCTTTTGTAAAACGAGGACATGCTCAGGCTACCGGGTGCTCAGACAACACACAGCCATCAGGGAAAATAAGTCCCTTTCGACCCTCTGCTGAGAAAGAATAAAGGTAGCACAGATGCTCTCAAGGTACTGATTGAATGGTCTCCTCCCTCCGAGGGCTCCCCTCTTGCTTGTGGAGTCCTTTCCTGTCACACTACATGAACCCAGCTGGAACATCTCATCGGAGTGAAATCACAGGTTTAAGAACAGGAGAGAAATAAGAAGTAGAGCTCACATTCTCTACTGTGCACATGATCCCCTTGTTAGCGGCAGGCAAACAAAGCCAGCATGTTTGATTCCACCAGAGAGGTCAGAAAATGGAATTTCTGGCCTCAGAAAATCCCCTGGTTCCTACATTTCTTTTCATGCATAGGAAAATGCATGAAATATTTAGCAGGGCAGAAATTCCAAAAATGAATGAATCAGAAATATCAAAACACGTTCCTTCAATAAGATTGAAACATTTCTCCTGATGAATGTTTAAAGTAAAATCACTTCTACATTAGAATAATAAAAGTCAAAACTAAACAAGAACATCTAAATCAAGTATTTTGACATTATTTAAATGAAACAAGTTGACACAAGTCTCTCAAAACTTCTCCATCAAATATTATATCATGCAGATAAGATTTTGACAAAACAGCATTTTCTAACACAAGGTGTTTCACCAGAATTCTTTCATCAGCTATTTATGCTATTTGTCTCCTGGTGGTGGGTGGGAAACTGGGTCCCTTTGCTCAGCGCAGAGGCAGCAGCCCACACTTCCAGCATGAGTAATGAGAGCAAGAACCTCCTATACACATCTGCACAGAAGTGCCGCAGGCACCCCAAATTTAGGCCATCCTTCTCCTGGGGTTTGATGGGAATTTCCACTCCTGCCTGACTTGGTTCTGGAGGAAAATGAGAGGTTTGGAGCTGCAAGAAAGCACCGCACAGAAAACCTCCACTTTCCTGAAAAACATCCGTAAGATGTGGGATTTGTGGGCACTTAGAGGCCGTATGTGAGGAAACCACCAAATGTTACCCCCAGGCAGAAAGGACCCTCAAGAAAATACTTAACCTCACACACATTATTTCATACATAGACTAATTTTGCTTAAACTAATGAAGGCTAATAGTGTTAGGTACGTATGTGAAGGAACCAGGACCAGGGAGTTTCTATTGCCTACTTCTTTTTGTTGAGTCCAACAACGAGGGAAAAAGGATCTAAAAAGGAAACACAAGGAAAATGAGGGGGTGAGCTAAGAAGGAAAGGCCCTTTCTGCTTATCTTTGCTACATCCCCAGGTCTACTGAAAGGTGTCCCTGCTCATTGCAGGGGGGTTGGACTAGATGATCTTTGAAGGCCCTTTCCAAACCAAACCATTCTATGATCTAAAACCCTTGTGCAGGGTAAATGCACAAACTGAATCCAGCAGGTTCATTAAAACTCTGAGGCATAACATCAAATCACTCCTGCTAAGGTTTATAGAAGATTTAAATACAAGGTATGTGACCCTGGAAGCACTTCAAGTCAACCCATCATAACCTGAAAGCCTTCGTGCCTGCTGTTTCAGCAGTATTTCAGCACTCGTGTTGTATGACAGGAGTCAATACATTCAATGGAAAAGCAGAGTAGGAAAGATATAAACACTTAGGAATTTTCTGACAGACTTCCACCATCAACTATATTGGGAGTAATGTAGAACCTAAATAATATTACTACTAACTAGAGGTAATCAAGGAAAGATACCTGGCCTTCTCGGTGAAACCTGGGAGCACTTCACTAGACAAAACCAAGTCTCCATGCCAGGGAGCACAACCTCAGCTCAAAAGCTAACTCTGATCCACAGCAGCAGCAAAATTCCTTTCAGATAGGTCTGTTTGGTCCCCATGTCTCCTAGGATCAGCCTTTATTGTTTATTCTCAATTTGACATATATACATGTGTATGAACACCTTACATGCAGCTTGCATGCAGGCACGTTTAAAGAGATCTGTACTTAGATATAACATGTGATATAAAACCAGATGTGGGAACCCAGCATCTTGCCTGCCCAAATACCTTGGGCAGCACCAATTTGATTAAATCCAGACAGGTCAATAGAGGAAATGTTCAGGCTCCAGCTCTGCAGAGCTCCTAAGCCTCTTAGCAGCACGGGGTACACTGCAGCTCTTAAGCAAAGCTCTCAGAGCCAAACTCTTAGTCAGCATTTCAACAATAGTCATTGTTTAATCACCCCCCGCCTGCAGCTGTGGGTTGTTCAGAACATGGACCTCAGTCAGCTCTACCCAACCTAACCCAATTCCAACGTAAGTAACTTAAAATCTGGTTTTGCTCTGTTTTTTTCAGGTTTTAGTATTTCTCTTACGACAGAACTTTATATGATTGATTTAACTTTTACCCTATTGCTTGTAATAACCTCAAGCTCATCAGTAACAGAGATGTGGGTTTTCCCGTTGTGAGGGGGACCAAACATCTTCAGTCCACTGCTGGGGAACAAAACTGCAGAAGGGCCATGGATGACGTTCCAGGAGTCTGAATCCTCTTCAGTGAACCTTCATTTCTGAAGAACTTCTGAAAATGTTACCTGAAGGAATTAGTTATTCCCAACCATTACCGGGGGGGTTGACCTGAGAACTTTGGAAGAGCCATTTCCATGGGTGTAGAAGGCATCAGCTTCGAGGGGAAGGAGCCAGATGAGATTAAAGGAGAGAAGGGAGAAGATAAGACCCCAGGAGGCTGCACACCCTCTCACAAGTCAAGCACGAAATTGCAGGATCAATCAGCTCGCTATAGTTGTGAGAAAGAAAAGACTTTTCCAGCAAAGTGAAGCTTAATACAAATTTCTTCTGACAAGCACTGGAAGTCCCAAACCATTGTTCACTATTATGAGAGAATGTCTGTTTAAAAGGATAAAAGCGGCTGCAGTTGAGACATGGCAGATTTAGAAGTAATCTTCATGAACATTAATGAGCCAGATCCTCAGCTGGTAAAGACTGACACGGCTTAATTGAAAATCAATGCTGTCACACTGAGCATTTCTTCCAGCCACATCCCATCTTGCAGTGCAGATCTGGATAAACCTGAACCCAGATACCTTGTGCTTTGTATCCTCTTTCCTTTTACTCAGAAGTGAAGCAAAAGAACCTGGTTGGCTCCCCCTTCTTGGGAGCCCTCCTTTAAAAATGTGATGGCATATTGCCCTCCTCAGCATGTTCCTTCCAACAGGTCCTTGAGTTTGTGCATCAATAAATCTCTTGGGCATAACTGCCTCAGCCCCAGCAACAGGCTTTATGATTGCACTACACTTCAAATGGACACTAAAACTCACATGTTTTAGGATAGATGGCTATTTAAACATACTCTATAAGCAATACTCTGCCCTTGTATTAGGCAGACTTTTGGTCTTGACTTTATATAGCTCCATTAACGGTAATTTTCCTCTTGCAATTAGGAAGAAGCGTGGCCATAAAACCGATACTGAAACTTGTTAGTAAGTTGTATATAATTTCATAATGTATTTGGCAAGTGCTAATTGCCTCTTACTTAAATGTCTCTTGCTTTGTAACTCAAAGCATTTGCAAAAACTATGAGAGTTTTATGGACCTGGCTGATGGGAGGTTTGCTTAACCTCAGGATAGCACCAGCATGAACCTCAGGCATGGAGAATTTCTTTGTTCATGCACAAATCCATTCTTCAAGGTCAGTGAGGTGCTGTACAAAAAACCATGAAGATGGCCAGAAAAAGAGATTTGAAAGACAGGTAAAGAGCAGCCTCTACTCCTCATAGATGCGCAGAGGACAGATGCTCCCCCAGGAAATGTCCCTCCTGTAAGGCTCACGAGGGCCCAGCAGAGCCAGAACACTCCCTTTTTTCCCTTCCCTAGAAGGTTATGGACATTGAAGAGCACAGCTAAGCAGGCAGCAGCAGCGTGGGTAAAGCTGAGGGGGAGGGAAGGGAGAAGCACATTTGACATTGGCAGCTCCATACAACAGGACTCCAAAGCATGAATGATAATGGTGATGCCCAAACCAACTGGTGAGGTCAGAGGGAGCAAGAGCAGCTCAGCCTTGCTATAGATCAAGTACCAGTAACATCAGGGCAAGTCAGAGGAGGGGAAAGGTCATGCTCCTTATAGATCCAGAGTTCACAGAAGATGAACAACAATGTAAGGAAGTCCCTAAATCATGCGCTTTGCATCTTTGTGTACTGTGCTCTACGGTAAACTTAAGATTTATCAAGAGACTGAACGAATATGTCCACATTGCCCTTGGGATGAGGCTAACAAAGCAGACAGGATTTCAAAGCAGAGCTGGAGAGCACTTCCACCCATCACAGCAGGGCTGGGTGCAGCAGCACGTGCTGCCAAGCTGCCAGCAATCACCCACAGACAGACGTGGCAGGAGAGAGACAGCGCAGCACTGCAGACAGTGAGCTTTCACGCTCAACGCTCACAGCCACTGAGACTGATAGTGCTGTTATGATGTTCCCTAGACAATCTGGCTGGATTTGCCTTTCCTTTTTAGTGCCATTAGCTCTCATCTATGCCCCCTCTATGCCTTTTCTGCTGACTTGGTCCTGCCATCCTGCAAATACTCCAGCATCACGAGCCAGTCCCCGCTCCAAGGTACTGCTCAGCCTGACTGGACAGGCTGGCATTCAGTCCCATTAGGTTTCCTGGTGGTCAGGTCTCCAGACTCCTAACTTAGTATCCATCAGCAGCACTACAATGGGCAGGCCCTGGCCTGAACACAATTATGGTACTTCCCTGAAACATGGTACATTCAAGAGAAATATTTTTAGAAATGAATGAAAGGAGCAGATTTAAGTGTTCCTGCCAATGCCAGTGGAAGCTGCTGATATTCAGACGTTGCAGAGCAGCCCCATGTCTGGGTGAAGGTTTGTGTGCTGACTTCTAGACATCAGAGCCAAAAGAGTAAGCCATCCTTGGTGCTCACCCCAAATGTGGAGACAGGAGATGGAGATATCTGGAAAAACCCAGAAGCTCAAAGCAGGAACCAAAGAAAAGCTTCAGCTAGAATCCCGCCACTGATGTGAGGTAGAAGGAATACTTCTCCAACCCACTTTCTCTAGCTTTGCAAATACCTGTGACAGCAGTAAAACCAGAGGCTTACACACACCTCAGCATTCACATCCGAATGCACTTCATGAGTTTCTTCTGAAAAATCCCAGCACTAACTTTTATTTCATTTGTACTACTCCAGACTAGTCAAAGTTTAAAGCAGTCGATACCACCCATTTACTGGAACCACCCATTCCTTGATCTATTTTCTCTCGCAGAGACAAGTCTCTGTTGCCATCAGCTGAAATTCACCCCTTCTTTTCCATCAAAGCAGATGAAATGGCAACGAACATTATCCACCCAGCCTGCTTCCATGGAAAAGGAATCAGGAAAGCTGCTCTCACTGGAACGAAGCTTCAGTTTTAAGGAAAAAAAATCTGCAGAGCTTCAATATGTTTAGAGAAGCATCTCTCTTTCCTCCCCAACAACTGCTCCCATCTCATCCCTGCTCCTTTCAAACCATGTAAATTCTGAGGCACAGGCTTGGATTTACCTTCGTATGTTGCTTTGAATCCCAGCAAGTTGCTGACACTGTCTGTCTGGAAGAGGAGCCACATCTGGTGGTGTGTGCTGACGATGAGATCGGGCACTGTGGTGCCTGTCAAGCTGCAAAGATAAATAGGAACAAGTAAACAGCCTGTATGTCTCCCCAAAGTTATTTTCCCACCAAAATAAAGGCCACGTATTCCTCTGCAGGAGCAGAAAACAAGAGCAATGCCAACACAATTAATAACAACCCCAAAATGGGACACTGTCCAAAAACCTGATAGATCTTCATGACTGATGAGCCTCTCAGCATGTTTCTGAATGCTACCTAAACAGTCTTCTACCCCAGTTGAGAGCCTGTGAGTTATCTTCATCATCACTGTAATAATTTCATACCATTATTACAATACATTATCCAGCAGCAATAGCAGTAATTTCCTTGTGCTGAAACAAAACATAAGCAAACAAATAGAATTCCCAGAACCCAGTGACTGAATCCTCTCACCTGCCTTGATTTCTAGCATTACAGACACTGACTTTCAGCACATCCTCTGCTACCTTTCTAACCTGACACAGGAGTTTCCACAAGGCTCCCCAAAAGCCCCCAGAAGACAAGGCACAGCCTCCCATCTGCTGAATGCCCTGTGAGCCCTTGAAAAGTGCCACTAATCCAGTAAGGGATGATGGGGACATTGCCTCCAAGGATACTCCTAGGAGAGCCGAAGGGATTGGAGTAATATCACCAATATACCTGTATTAATGAGCCACGTGTGGCTCGTTCAGCCTTCAGGATTAATCACCTCATTGTGGTTCAATATAGAGTTTTACCCCCATCCACAGGAGCACGGGTGGAGGTGGAGCACAGCTCCTTCCCTTCCCTCCGCTTCCCAAACCAGAGCAGCGGAGCGTGGGAAGGGAGCGTTGTTCCAGGACTGAGTGTCACGCTGCCTGTCTCGGTGGCAGTGTTTAATGTTGTTATCTCACTGTTTTTAAGGTATCAGCTGTGATAAATTTATAAATGACCTTAAGCACAGCTCCTGTGAGTGGATATGGGGGTTTTGCCTGTTGTCATATCTCCATAAATACATATGAATAACTACGCCTTCTGCCTGGCACCGTGCTCAGTACAACAGCAGCACCTGAAAGACTTCTGGATGACACTGATCCCCGGGCTCTGAAGGCAGCATTACTGCAACCCAGTACTGCAAGGGCAGAAACCCAGCAGCTGTGTGTTGACAGCATCCTGTGAATAAATGTAACTTGCAACCTCCAGGCGTAATTGGTGCAATTCCCAGTTTCCTGCGTAATCAGAGCTGGTTTGGCTGCTCTGCCAATTGCCAATTTAGGGTGAAGTCAAACGACTGCTTCAAGGTTTCTGCTTCTTACTCTACCCGTCTGACATTCCTAACTCTGGCTACCTGCGGGATTCTTCCCAACAGCCTTGCCATGCACATAACTCCCCTCCCAATTCCAGAGACTTTTGCCAGTCACATACACACTGGGGACCACTGTAACCCTGAAACCAGTCACTGCTCAGGCTCTGCCCATGGAACCTGGAGTGTGCTTTTGCCTGAAATCACATTCGTATCTCCCAAGCCCATCAAAGCTCTCCCAGCTCTGCTCCCACCTTCGCTCTGTTATGGTTTTGATCTGCATCAGAAATATTATTGATCCCAAGGTGCTAGTAAATTAAGAAATAATCTTGTTTTAATGACTGTTTCGCACCCAGGGAGTTTGATAGAGAGTGCAGAAGAAGTGCTATTGTTGATTCTTATCAAGTCATTTAAGCAGCAGCCAGGCAGGAATGAGGAATATAACCAAGAGAAAAACCTTCAGAGGTTTGTTCATGCCTTCCCATTCTACTTTAACAAGCTGAATGATTGATTTGGGTGCTTGTTACTTTCAGGAATAAAATCCTCTCTGCAAGTCAGAAAGCTCAGCCTAACAATCTGTTATGTTCTCTGAGATGCATTTTACAGGGATGAGAGTGAGACTGGAAACAAATGGTCCTTCATACCTCAGTTTGGGATAGTGTCTGCTGCTATGCAAGTGGATTCAAGTGTATTTCCTGATTTGAAAGGCTGCAGGACTGAGTTCCTCTTGACTAGCCAAGAATAAATGAGGAGCAGTAAGAAAATTGGAACTCCTATCTCTGACAGGATGTTGAGTCCTCCAAAAAACCAACTTGTATCCAACGGCCATACCTGACACAGGGAATTACAGCAGCTAAGAGGGCAGCAAATGCTGAGAAAAGTTGTCCATGGTCTTTCAATGACATTCATTGCAAACGGAGTATTTCTGGCGTCTTCAGACCTCTCTCACAGATCACAGAGTCCCAGCCTGGTTTGGGCTGGAAGGGACCTTAAAGCTCCTCCAGCTCCAACCCCTGCCCCGGGCAGGGACACCTTCCACTAGAGCAGGTTGCTCCAAGCCCCTGTGTCCAACCTGGCCTTGAACACTGCCAGGGATGGGGCAGCCACAGCTTCTCTGGGCACCCTGTGCCAGCACCTCAGCACCCTCACAGCCTGGCTCCAGGGCAGAGACGCATCAGCAATTTAATGGCAAGTTCTCCTGCACTGGGAGAAGACACGAGACCCTACACCTTGTGCAGACAGTTTGGCTGTTCTATATTTGTATTAGCAAGGTGTTGAGTGGCTGACACAGAGTGAGAAAATGTGGAATGATTAAAATGAAACCTAGGAGAGCCTTCATGGGCTTTAGGCAAACAAAGAGACGGAATGAGGGATCATTTCAGCAAGTTATTACCAAGTACTCCCCTGGCAGTAATTTGCACATTTTGACCAATCAGCTGTGAAATGTTCTGTGACACCGTAATTACAAACACTTTTGCAATAATCACTTTATACTTATATATGGGTTAGAGTTCCTGACCTGAGCACCCATGTTCATGTTCTGAAAAGAAATGCATAGGAAAACAAACCTCAGAGAAACAGAGGTTTTGGAAAGACAAGCAAACATTACAAGAAGTGAAAATGGAGTGGGAGGCTGATTCACAAGGGAAAACAAGTGAGAGGAGGAATTCAAACCCACAGTAACTCCTTCCAACCCTACCAGTTGAAAAGAGTACAACAGCTTTGCTAGAGTAGCTTTTGGAGACCTGTTTGTTTTTCTACCTTTTGTATTAGACAGGAAAAAAAGGGTGTCTCTCAAGTTCAGACACTCACAGCCGGATGCTGATGGGCCTGGTCCCAACACCCCATTCACCACTCCAAATATTCCTCCCAAAAGTCACAGTGGCTTTTCCCTGCTTCTGCTCCAGCACCTGCCCTTGCAAGTGCCCTCGAGACATTTGAGACTTGGGCAAACACCTTGGCTCACATCTTCACTCACAAGAGGCAAACCTCAGCCCAACAGGGCAAGAGGCTGCACTTCCAGAAGTGATCAGCAGAGTCACAGGCACGACCGAGCTCGAAAATACAGAGCAAACTACCGGCAGGTGCTCCGAGCTGACCTGCACCAGGAGTCGAGGCAGCAGCGCGCCGCCGTGTTCACGCAGTGCTACCCGCAACTCACTCTCTGCTCTCCTCTTACGCTCTCCGGGCTATTTGCACCCGCTGGCAGGGCCGTACCAGGTCACTCTGTGCCTGCAGAACTGAGCTGCGCTGCTCAGAGCAGACTTGCCAAGATGCATTTCCAGAAGCACCCAAACGTGCAGCACCCCAAGGTCTCCATCGGCTTTCAAATTTTGGATTTCCACAAAGCCACCCAGCATTTGAGTTGATGACTCAAAGAAGCTACATCAGAATCACTTTCTCCAGTGCAGTGGATCTGAACGATACACAATTACCACAGTTACATTTGAATGATACACAAATTGATTTCTCACTGACCCTTCAGAGAAGCAGCAGACACTTGACTGGAGGAAGGGCAAACAGAAACCATCAACATCAGGTTAATGAGAACAAATGGCCTTGCGAGAGATGATCAAGGCTCACTCTTCTTCACTTGTGGCATTTTCTAGCGGCTACTGTAAAAGACCCTGACTTACCCCCGTGCTACAAAGGGATCCACTTCCACTACAACCACTTCCCTTTTATTTCCTGTATAAGCTGTACTATAACATAAAGCACTTGGTCATCAAGCAGCCGACTGACAACACAGCAGTTCTACAGTCTAAAAACTGGCAGCATCAGAGATTTCACCTCTTCCTTTGGCACGGCTGCATTGGCCCCAAAGTCCTTTCTTCATAATTAAAACTGGGGGAAAAAAACCCAACCACAACCAACCTCATCCCCCAAAAAAGCATATTTAGATGGGAAACACTGATACAAGAAGGCCTGAAAGGAAAACAGGACTACCTACAATGCTTCCTCTGCTGAAGAGATCTCCATAGAACAGCAAATCTGCAAACTAAAGGGTATAAATTGAGGGGAACCAATTCTCAGCCTTGAAGCAGCATGAAGCACTGCTTACACAAATGCACAACGGGTGTCAAATGCTCAGGGTGTCACTCAAAGAGAATGGATTTACACTTTGCAGTGTTTTAAATGACTGCACAAGAAGGACAGCACAGGAGAGAGATCCAAACAGTTCTGTTTCTGCCTGATCTACATTTACTCTTGTATCCAAACTTCCATCCTGTTCCTCAGCAACTTGGACAGCCTCAGCCTTTCCCTATGGGACCCGACGAAGGCAGCTCAAGAGAAGCAAAGCAAAGAGGTAAGAGCCTCTCTGTCAGCTGAAGCCTCAGAGAATGTGATGAGGGAAGAATGCACCAAGAACAGTCACACCAAGAATGACAAGCAGCACATAAACCATCCAAACACATCAGTCACATCTTGTCAGGCAAAACACTCCCACGTGGATCTCTCGCAGGGACAAAGGACATGCTACTTACACATAAAGCACCGTTTTCTGATCTCCGACTTGTCCTCCATCACCCACTGTCAGAGTGTCATATCCTCTTTCTAGTTCAAATTCTTCAAAGGTGAGTTTGATAACCTGGCAAAGATGCAGCATGTTAATATGAATCAAGTGCCGAGGCAGGCAGCAGATCCCCTTGTCTGGTTTATTTATCTGTTTGTCTATCGAGGAGCAATTTATAAGAGCATTAATATCTTCAGGACATCACAAAGGTGACCAGCCTCACTTTTCACAGCACTGTAGCAATTCTTTCCAGACAGATTGAGCTCTTACTGAAACTACCTCTCAGATTTTTCTGCTTTATCTATTGATTTTCTAGATGACTTTATTGATAAAGATATGTGTGTTGGGATTTCAGCAAGCTCTTTTTCAGCAGGCACTGCTACCCTTCCCTTCATAAACCTGAGGTTATGGTGATGGATTTGGATGTGCATCCAGGCAGCATGTTGGTTACATACGGTGCAAGCACAGGGTTTCTTTTCCTCTACGTTGCTCAGAAAGTTCTCCTGGTTCTGTCAGACCAAGAAAGGCTTCATATGAATTACCTCTGGGTAGCTCAAGGAAATGGTCCCAAGCTGTCTGCAAACACAATCATCATCACATCTGTCCACAGCTGTTTGGTTCCTGTGTTTTCTCTCCTGCTCTATGCAAACCTTCCACCCCACTTGATTTATGCAGCCTTTACGCATCATTTAGGAGCAGAGGTCCCATGGAAGCCAAGAGGTTTGTGTTCCAAGTCTCTTAGCTGCTGCTGAAACCTCTTGATTTTCAAGTAACTGAAAATTACAATGGGGATTTAGGGGACAAAGGTCCTTAATGCAGCCTTGGACAGAGTGAACAAACAGAAAAGGAAGAGAGCTTTATTTACAGAAGTTCTTTACATCCACAACACTAGAAGAAACCAACAAGAACTTTGTTTCTTGGAGCTTTTTAACTGACTGGATCCAGCAAAGCACATGAATGCACCCAGACCTTGTACATGTGCCTGTAAATACATTACATTTCCTAACTTTTAACAGATTAAATTACCAGCTTTAGTTTCATGCTACTTTTTTGCTATTTCAGACAACATAGAAGTTATCAGAAGTAAACTAAAAAGTAAATAAGGACTTACAGATGATGCTAGCGAGCACAGACACATGGTGCCAGCTACACTTCTTACATGGGAGCAAGGCCCAGGAAACCAAAATCTTTGTCTTGTAATTTCTTGCCTATTATAAAAGCAGCATCTCCTGCAAATACTCGAGGGGGATAAAAGTCCCAGAGTCAGAACCAAAAGCAGCTATTAACTGTGTTAGGTTAAATGCGAGTGTGCCTTTTCAGTCTCTTTGAGGCTTGTATGGACTCTGTAGGAAGCTGACAACATTCGTCTGTCAAGAGCCACTCAACTTCAATCCCTTAAAAAGGTCAGACATTGAGTGTTCTTTAAAAAGGAATGGATGTATCTACTGACTGAACTGCCATGTGCAACTGCCTTCTACACATGAACCGTAGTGTGGCTGGGGCTGGAAAGGACCTCCAGATCATCTAAATGAAAGTTACACTTCTCAAATGCATAGAAAAACAAATCAGGTATTTTAGCCATGAAATAGGGTATTACCAAGAGCCCCAGGATCGTGAAAGAGGAGCCTGTGTGATACCTCCTAAAAGTTTGGAACCACTAATTTTAGTAGTAGCACCAAAATATTAACTTGTGCAGGTTCTTATTAAGCCATGTAATGATGGAACAATGTAATTAATACAGAGAACACAGTGCTGTAAAGCAGCACACATCGTTAGTTAAACCAGTCAGTCAAGTAAACTGCATTCTAAGGAGGCTGACCCTAATGAAGTAACTAATTACAGCCGGTATAGTGAACACCGCAACCTCGTGGCACAGGAGCTGGATGCTGAATGTGGTATTTATTTATCCGTTCTCTTATTTTCTTTTTGGTCTGAGAGCTGAAAATGATTTCATGATTCATCAAACAACAAGAGACCTGCCAGCGCCACAAATACATGGCTGACACAAAACCTCCATTTTAAGCTGCTGAAGTGACAGGAAGCAATTAGCAAAGTCAGGAAAATAAGCTGGAAGATGACACCTGATTTTAAGGCTTTGTACTGCAAAACGATGTGAAGTGCAGGTACATTCATAGGAAAAATCCACAATTGTTCTCTCCATGGAGAACAGCACCTCTTGCAGTGATATTCAAATGCTTTACAAGCACACATTACTCATTCCCACCCCCTTCTCCCCAGCTGCCAACATCTACCTTCATTTGGGGTGAATCATCCCCTGGAGGGGCCCATCTCTGCCCACCGATGACACAAGGAGCTTGGACAGAGCTTTATTTGGCCACCCAGGCTCCAGGTGAGAAACACCAACCAGGAACATCCATTTTGTCAAGAAGGTCCAGAAATAGTTTTGATGCAAATTCCCCAATTACCACATGCATTTCTCAGCTCCCAAGCGATTTATTTTTCCACTGAGGTTGAAATTAATTCCCATGGCACCGGAGACCAGCAAAAAACCTATATCCCCTGAATAGGTTTGATGTCACCCTCTGTATAGGAAATAATTCCAAGTTGTCAGCTGAAGAGCTCTATGCCCATAATAGTGTTTATGTAGGTTTCCGAGCAAACTTCGAGGGGATTATGTAGCTCAGTGAATCTGGCTCACAGTTCTCGTCCAAATATAGAACAGATGACTTGCAAATGAGTTCTAAATTCAGCTCAGTGGTTTTCCCATCGCTCACATTAACAGCTTCATGTAACAGGACCCGATCCAAAGACCACTCAAGTCAATAGAAGATTACTACCAACTTCAGCAGCCTTCAGCTCAGGCCCAGAATGCTTTTTACCTTCCAAGTATTTCACAGGCATTTTAATTAATGCATCTTCAATCCTCCCTCACTCATGCTGGGGAGCACGAAACGGCAGGATCATCCGTCCCCACTGCACACAAAGGCCACATGAGCCAAGCAGGTGAATCCTCCTGTTGAGCACCACAGGTCCTGCTTTAGGTAAGCGAGAGTGAGTCTGCCATGTACTTGTCAGAGGCAGCACTATGTGACTTGCTAGGCAGGAATACCAGTGACCGAGCTGGCATCAAAACACACACCAGGAAATCCCAGTGCTGTGCTGAGGAACAGCATCTCTGCAGCTTGGAAGAGCAGCTCAAGGAGACACGAGCAGGCAATGGAAGAGGTGGATGCAAAAGTGGCCTTCCCAAAACCGTCAGTGCATTTCCCTGAACCCTCCCCTGCTTCAGAGAGATGGAGAGTTTTTCCCTACCTGTAGGTTATGCTTCCAGGAGGAAACATCCCAAATTCCTTTAGAACCTGATATCACTGATTAACTGTTTCTCACCTCAAAGAAGAGAAGGCGGCGGCAGTCTCTTTACACAAGTGATACAAGCTGCTGAGCTGACCTTGCCTCAGATGTGCTACACTTCTTCACAGTGCATGATGCTGCAGCCCACAGAGCACAACTTACACTTTCTTGTGCTACTGAATCTCTGCTCCAAGTTGTCAAGTGCTGAAATTAAGGGAGCTCACCAATTTCAAACCCCTTTATGATTTACAAAAGCTGAGGATCAGGACTTGCAGATTCTGGGGGTTTTTTTTATCAATGGTTTGTTATTACTCAGGTTTAAAAGCTGAGGAAGGAACTAAACAGGGGAAAAGGAGTAACTTCCCCTAAGTAGGAATTAACGAAGTTTTGGGCAATGAGGCAACACCCATGGAGCTCAATGAGAGTAGCCATTCGTCCCATCACACTACTGAGGAAAAGCATAGAAAGTCTGTGCATGAGGCTGGCAAAAAAGCAAATGAACAGAGCTGAAGATTCAACTCAATATTCAACATGAAAACAATGTGACAAAGGGTCAGTAAGACAGTGGACGTGGCCCACGAGCATCTCTTGACAACTCACTGCCATGTCTTCCTTCATCATTTGTACCAGAAAACCCAAGTGAAAGCGTGAGCCTACAGAACACCCAGGGCGCACCTACCTCCAGCTCACAACTTCTGCCAGACCACAGAGGGCTATTTTATATACTCAGAAGCTGGATTTTGCTGATCTCAGAAAGTCAAAGATGCACAAAAATAAAGATGTGTGTAATACACGTAAGCACGGGCTAAGATGCTGATGCATTCAACAACCCGTCCGTGCCCAGGCAATGTGTACCCAAGGGTCTGCAGGCCACAGGCTGAAAAACACAGCTGACACTTGAGCAGTAATAGCTGCTGTTAGATGTGGTCTGTTCTCCACTTCCACATTACCCTGATGAAGGAGAACCTCCTGGGTCTGATTAACCAGTAAATCACTCCTAATAATTCAGCACTGAAAAATATCCTGATTCCACACTCCAGTTTCCCAGAATTTGGGTCATTACTACACTCCTGTGCAGCCAAACCAAGACATCCGCTGGATGAAATGACCAGCTAATGACAGCCCTTTAAACACAAACTCCTTCTGAAATTGGAACATAGGAATGCTCCTCATTAAAATCATAATCCAACAGTGATCTGCCCTTATTAAAGGCTTGAACTGATGCTGGGAGGAGAAAGAAGCAGAACTCCACAGGTTCTGCAGCCAGCTCACAGCAAGCGCTCCAGAAGAAAGTGAGAGCACCAGATGCATCCCAACAGTGAGGAGGTTACAACTGTGGGTGGTTCCCATCATCTCTAGAACAGATGAGATCCTTGGATACTAACATGTTTGTGAGGTGCCTTCCTTGGATCAGCAGCTGAAGGCTGAGTGTAAAAAGCAGGATGATAAGAGGCAAGGACCATGGCATAATGGACCATAAGTAGAGGAGCTCAGTGCCGTGGCATGCAACACTGGCTCATGAGCTATTGGAGATGATGTTAGCAGGAACCCAGACACTAAAAAGAATGAAACCTGTAGTTGTCTATAAGCAGAAGATGCTGAAGAGCACCTGAGGAAGTGTGTTTTGAGCTACACAGCGAAGTAATTTTTGTTCTTGTGTTTAGTTCTTGAGAGAGGAACAGGCTGAGTTTGCAGGGCTGGAAAAAGCTGAACATTTCCCTCCCTGAGCCAGTGGGAAATGAAAGGACTTGATCTTACAAAGGCCAAGGCACTCAGGCCTCACTCTGCACACGATCAGTGACAAGAGACTTGAACTGCGCATACACAGTAGGGACAAAAACCCCACCAGCCTCCCTGCTCCCAACCTCAGTGAACACTGAAAGGACTTGTCTGTACATCTGCAATACTGCAGGAGTGCAGTATCAGAAACAGCAACCTGAAAGGCTGAATTTAGGGACTGCTCCTCTCTGAAGATGCACAGCTACACAACATTTCAGCTAAAGCACTAAAGCAAGGACACGGAGAGGCAGCTCCAAGACCTACCTTGGCTGGATTGAGTGCAGTGATGACCCACACGCAGTAGGCGTTGTTATCGTACTGCACAGGGTAGTTGGGAGAAGTTATCACACCACTGGGACCACGAAGGTACATGTCACACATCCGAGCTGTGAAGAGGACAAGACAGATGTGTGAGTGAGGTCTCAGCTCTGGGATGTGTACTGCGTTCTCTGTTTGAGGAGGAGAGAGGAGCAGAGATGCAGACATACGGAAGCAGGAGAGAATTACAAACTGCTGCTCTCTGTTGTTCTCACTACCCAAAACATTCCTTTTTTCCCCCATGTAAGAGAGATGAAGGATTCATCTGTGATGAATAGATGAGTGGGGTGTTTCCAGGGGCTACATCAAACAGATGGACCACCAGATCAACCCCCACCAACCCACTCTCTAGTGCTTGGACTGATCTTATGTTAAAGCCTCTACAGAAATACTTTCATGTCCAGGAGAGTGAAACCAACTGCACAGAAGATACCAGGAAAGATGCAGCTTCTTTTCAATGTCCCCAGAAAGCTGAATTTCCTTTCTTCATTACAGGCCCCCAAAACACTTTACCACAAGTAAAATTCGGCAAGGGCTAACTTCATTCTGACCTGAGGGTGGACTCAGAACCAAGAGGGCAGCCCAACTTCCTATCTCAAAAAGGTAAAGTAGAAGCTGAAAAGTGCTCACAAGCAGGGAAATGTTTGCCTGTGGTCTTTTGTTGCAATATATAAGCAGAAAACATGAGGAACAGTGTCTTGGTTTTGTGATTGCCCCTGCTGTTATGATGAATCCTCAAAACTGATTTATTTCACATCTCAAAGGAGCTACATTTGCACATGTGGCATCTGCAAGGCTTTTTCCCCCTCCAAATAGCAGTAAAGCGTGGAAAATGATCTCCTGGCCAAGCCGCCTGCAGAGGTGGTCCCAAGGGAACATGAGGAACACCGAGAAACAGCTCAGGAAGGAGCTGAGGGCATCAATCCACAATGCTTAAACCTCATCCCTCCTGACCCCATCTCAGGACCCAGAGGGAATCTGCTGTAGATGGGGAAGCTGAAAAACAGTCTCCCAACAGTGGCAAGAGGTTTGATCACTGGGTACTAGGAAGTGTTACTCTCCAGAGGTTGAAGGCTGGCTCAGCAGGACCCTGCCTTCTGCAACTTGAGGGAAACACAACAGCCAATCACAGAATGGAACAAACAGAAAACAAATGATATAAAGTGGAAATAAAAAGCAAATGGAATTTTTTTAAGAAGAAAAAACTCCAAAACTTAGCAGTTAAGAAAAAAAAGTAGATTCATAGGATCATACTAATGCAGGAAAATCCTTCCTTATCTCCTGCAAGAGGACACCATAAATTTCCTTTATAGTGTCACATATTTATGCCAAATATCCTCTTACAGTGATTCAATTTATTCGAGGCTTGTTTCAAGAATTAGTTGGGATTCCAAAACCTTGAAAAAAACCTGCGGATGAAATTAAAGAAGAAAGAAGAGGAAAAAAATACCAATTTATGACTTTAAGAGCTTTAGAGGGACTTAATTAAAAATATTACAAGTTGCTCATTATTAGCATTACAAATACCATAATTATGCATGTGACTTCTGAGAGAGAGGGAGGAAAACAAAATGGCCAAGGGCAAAATGGGCATTAGTGGTTTTCCTTCTGCAAGAAAACTCTCTCGGCCCCTGGCTGGGCCACAGGATAATGGGGATGCTGCTGGTGAGGAACCACAGTCCAAGTAATCCCACGTGGCTGCCTCCCAGCACCAAGTTCCGGTTAAAAGAATCTCTATCTCAGCTTTTCCAGATTTTGTCTCAGGTTTTCACCTTTTCTCCCCTCTCCTCCTTATATCATAAAAAGAAATACCTGGAACGAAGAGAACAGAAGGGGACAGAAAGCATTGCGAAGAGCGTGCAGTACACAGCCACAAAGGACACAAGTATCTATATGGGGCAGAGCTTATGAAGCTCCAGAGTTAATGGCAATAGCTTTATGAATTCCATCATGCACAGGAAAAGGTGTTTTTCTTAAACCTGAATTTCTGGAATCAAGCAAAGGTTCCTCTCTCAGGCTTGTGCTGAAAGGACTGGAAATCTGAACTCATATTACACTCTCATGCTCAGCCAGAAAACAAGAACGACCATTAGAAAGCAATAAAGATCCCACTGACTGGCAAGCCCAAATTCCCATGTCCAGGAGCACAAATGCACTCGGTGCTGTGCTGAACACAGCAGTGCAGAACTGAATTCTCCCAACAGGTTGTGAGCATTGAGAGGGGCTCATCCAGCTCTGCCCCTTCCGTGAGGCAGGGTTTGAAAATGGAGCTGGACCGTGGACCCCCCAGAGGACTGAGGTTGAGAACCAAGTGATAACGAGTTGAGGATGAATGGGTGATGCACGAAGATGACATTAAGGAGATGGATTCTCTCATTGGTTCTAACTCAGTAACACTTGTCTCCTCACCTCTGCACACTGGCCTGTGGTCGCTCCAAGCCACGATTATGTCACTCACTCTCTTACAGGTGATGCTTTTGGACCCTTGCAAATCGTAGCCCTCGTTACAGGTGAACTGGATGCTGGAGCCTAACCTGGCAGGCAGAACAAAGCGGGAGGTTAGCAGCTGCCACGCTTCTGCAGCAACAGGTTTGTCACTCACATCTGGACTATCCCAGTGATTCTCCAAGTTGGGAACAGAGTTCACCAGCCCTGCAGGCATACTGAGAGGCAAGCCTGTGCCTCGCGCATTTGCTTGCGCTGGGCGCTGTTTGCCTGAGGTGGTGACAGTCCAAGAACAGATTTGAGTCTTTCAATGCAACTTCAGTGGGGATTTTATTCAGTGCGGGAGCACACTCAGCCCCGAGAGATGACAACTTCAGCATGATTACAGAGGGAAAAATACATCTTTATCTACTTTGTTCTTTAGTCTATCACTCTGGATCCAGACCCTTTGCTGGTTTAAGCCAATGCTGCCTTGTTCACACTTTACAGAAGCTGAGAATTTATCCTACAGCATTTAGGGACTATTGGGACTTCTCTTTCCTCCACCCTCACCCCTCCGATCCATTTTCTGGATTTCAGGAAAATTTGACAGACTCCAGTTAAATTGAAAGACACTTTTAGTGAACAAAACAGTCATTGACAGCAGAAAGAGATTAAATATTGATTCACCATTGCTAACAGCAGGCTCGTTCCTTCCTCCCTGCTTTGAATGAATGCTAGCAACTAGAAGGGAATAACAGCATTGTTTTAAACTCTATGAGAAAACAATTATCTAGCACCACATATACTTATCGACGAGGAACTGTACCAGTGCTTTGGGAAGTCACCTCAAATTCACCAGGGGCAGGGCCATGCTGTGATTTAAGCTAATTTGAGAAGTGATTTTTTTGCTGTTTAAGACAGTTCTTTCTGCACTTAACTGGAGGAGGGAATGACAACAAACAGTGATTATACGAGCCTGGCTCAACGCCCATAGTATGAAAACAGAAATGCTCTGAAAGAGAGATCATTACAGATCCTCATTGGGCCACGCTCTCCCAAACACACATGTGCACGTTTATACACACTCATTCTTCTACATCACCAGTCTCGGCAAGCTTCTGAGAGAGAACACATTTAGAGGTGTGCAGATGGTCTCTAAAAACAGACTACATAATGCCAAGGAGCACACACAACAGTTACAGACAGTAGCTTTGCAGCATGCAGAAACACACACGTAAAAGGGTCTTACCTAAAATCGTTGCCTATTCGTTTGCCTCTCTCTGGAATCCCAGGGTCTGGACACATATTATGTCCCTGGGACACACCAACCTGAGTTACTACAAAGCAAAAACAGCACATACAGAGACAGAATAGCAAAAGAAACATTCTTTCATCAACTGTCTTGGTGGATGTGGAGAGAAAATGGCAACTGGTGGCTCGAAAACCTGAACGTGTTCCATTTTGTTTCAGAAAAAAACCAGCTTTGGAAACAAATGTAACTGGAATCATTTCAGCGCAGTTTATACACCCAAGTGTTTCTAGGAAATGCCAGCTAGGGACACAGTTTTCCCTCCATTCTACTACAGAAGTGCCTCTGAAAAGAGGGTTCATTCCCATTCTGCAAAATGACACCAATTCAATAGTCCATTCCCGAAGCCTGTGATGAAAACAGCCACCTGCAGAGCACAAGGTGACAGCTACCACCCTCCAACCCACCCAGTGGTGCCAGGGAGAGGAAACAACTTGGTGAAAAGGCAGGTGTATGATACTAGGGCAAAAACCAAGCACAGGACAAAAGGGAGGAAGGAGAAGGGAAATGTAAGTCTGGTGTTTTAAAGCAAGTAATTTAGTCTGAATATGAAAAATTTGATGGAGCAACCTCGATGTAACTGCCAACAAACATGAAATCTATGAAGTGGTGAGCAGCACCCGATATACACCTTCAAACCTCATCCTCCATCTCCCTCTTTCCACCTTCCCCCTGACAAATGACACAAACCAGAGTTCAAGCACTGATTTGGGGTGGCCCCTGACAGGATAAGGTGAGATCTGGGAATAGACTGATTTCAATTCTGAATTCCAGCAACTGCCAAAATGCACAATAATATGGAACAAAGTGGTGGCTTTGTCACGGAGCTGTAGGAGTTGATGGGACTGAGCTGCTTGTATCACTAAGGTAAGGACACAAAGAAAACACAACGCTTCCTGGCAATGATGCTGAAGCAATGAAAGCATGAATCTGCGATGAGCATATTTCTGTTTCCTCTGCCTCTCACTAAAGGAAAATCCCAATTATACTCCAGAACACACTGTCAGCACAGTGCCCCCAGGACCACTGGAGGATGGTTCAGTGACACAGGCATGTTTCTCACAACAGGCGTTGGCTCAGCAGTTTGAGATGGGCATGGTGGAACACGCACGTCAATATTGACATGGGAAGGGAAGCATGTGGAGTAGCTACAACAGACACAGGCTGCACAGCGTGAACACACAAAAGGCAAGATTGGTAATTACACCCTGTGTAGTCAGGCACCACAGCTGGAAGATACAGTGCTGCTCCTAAGAGGATGGAAGGATCACGCTTCTGCTCACACTGGTACAGAGCTTTCATCTGAGCATCAACACCTCGCTGCTGGCTACCCACACAGCAGCTCCTGAGCTCCTCTTCAGCTCTAACAGCTCATCTCACACCCTTCCGTTCTGAAAGGACCTTTGTCTCTCCTGGCCTCCCTCTCCACCCCACCATGCCGGAGCCAGCCCCCTGCCCTGAGCTCAGCAGACGGGGTCAGAGCTGTCCCTGCTGCTGCACAGGGCTCAGCATTCAGCACGATGCTTTGGTGCTGCTCCATGTGTCAGAGGCCACAAGAGTAACAGAGATGCAGTCTGATGGGAAACCAGGCTCCTGAGAGGTTGTTCTCCCTCTTTTGCATATTCATAACCTCACATTACACTCTCAGTCACGAGGACAGAGACACCAGCAAGAGACAGGAGCATGAAAGTGGCACACAGCATCTTTTGATAGCTGTGTTTTGTAGGTACAAAGCTTTGCTGCCAGCTATCAGATTGTGATGATTCCAGATGTACTTGAGTCAGGAGGAAGTGAGCCCCTGTCCAGAGAAGGGATTCACCTCCAGTACTTTCAGCAGCAGTGTCCCAATAACTGAAGCAGACATGATAAATTCCTGCTCCAGGAATGGGTTCTCCAGCAGGTCTGAGATGCAAAATGATTTGGTAATCCTTCTGCAAAATGAAATCACCAGCTCCCAAGAGCCCTTCTGCTAGAGCCTGCAATGATACACTGCTTCTGAGGAATGAGAGGTCAGCTGAGCAAAGCCCACAGGGGACACCGGTTTCTTTAGGGAATCTTAAATCACTGCCTACCTACGCAAGTATGATGCAGATATCGCCAAACAAAGCAAAGTTAACACTTGGAGTGTACGAACTAGGGTTGTACGTCACAGATCCATGTGGTATTGAAGGAAAAGTGCTGCATTTCTCAGCCTCTATACCTTCTCCAGAGTAAAGCCACACTGAATGAGATACTCCTGTAAGGCACACGTGCGTGGATACAGCTCCTATACATAGAGCTGCATTCAAACACTTGGATGCTCCTCCTCGCAGAGCAGATTACCCCACTGCCTTTCCAAATCAGATTCTTTCTCCCATGGCCAAAAGACTACGCAGACAGCATCTGTCATGCCCATGTTAGTTACTCTGCACTGATATAACATCCATTTATGTCCCATACCAAATGAGTAAACCTCCAAGCCTCTGATTCAAGCTTTGGGAGGAAGCAAAGCTACAGACGACCACCCAAAACCACAGGCAGGTTGTCAGTTGCCAACTGCATCTCCAAAGACTAAAAACAGTTCTCCTCTTGTTAGCTAGCGTTATATTAATATCTATATAACACGTGTAGATAAACCAGAGAACAGTTAAGATAAAACAGAGCAAGGGGGAAAGGAAAGATATCTCCATATCTAGTTAGGATGGTTGGAACATTTTATTTGTGAAGGAGAGCAAAAGAAAAGGAGAAGATGGATTAGATGGTCACTTAGTTGTTCTTCTATCTTTTGTTATAAACACACACACACAAATATTAACTAAACCAAAGGTTATAAATGGTATTTGTTATGCTGAGAACTTGCTGTCAGTACTGTGTTCATCTTCCTGAAGGTTTGGCTGATCTATGCTTGGGCTGAAGCACTCCAAAATTAGCTCTTCAAGGTTTCTAGGAAGAACAATAGCTCTTAAAAACTGCGATGAACTGTTCAATTTCTCCATTATAGGCTCAAGGATTCTCTTCCCCAAACCATCGAACTACTTTTCCACCCCTTCATTCTCCTGCTGAGTTTTTCAACAACCTCTTTCTCATCATGCATTCCCTAACAGCCAGTTATGATTGCAGTGTTTGCCACAGTGATTTACTCCATCTGTTAGAAGAATTGAGAACCTTCTTTAGTTGTCTGCATCTCCCCATGTTAATAAAGAAAGTTCACTTACAAATTCCCAAGGGACGATTTTTTTATTGAATTTAGGACTGCAAAATATCAACTACAAAATAAAGCAGCATCTCAAAAGGTTTTACAAAGACTCAACATTTCTCAGCATGAGAAATACAGTGAAAGGCAGTCAGCTTTTCTACCGGCATGGGGAGGGGGAGGGAAGGAGCGTGGCAGTATTAGTTGTTTTAACAAGGGTAATTGTTATGATCACACTAAGGATGGTGGTTATTCCATGCAAACATCAGGTCAAGTTAATGGGTTACAAACTTCAGGCCTAAAAGCAGGAGAGCTGACCTGCTGATAGTGTGCTCAGCCCTGCGATGGGCTTGCTGCCCTCCCGATCCAGGAAGGTCATTCTGCACCCACCAACCATGTCTTAAACATTTCCAGACCTCAGCGTTCCTGATCCAGACGTTAAAGACTCACGTGTCTAGTGACAAGCAAGAGTGAAAGGGGACAGACTTGGGCTTAATGCTAGAGAAGACTATGCTCTGCTGGAAATCCAGCTGGAATGTTTTTACCTGGGAAATTCTGAGCCCGTATTTCACATCTTGCTGCTTTCTCCAAGCAGCTCAGAAGTCAACACCTTCAAAAGCATTTACAGACCTTCAGATTCTACAGACCATTTGCAAAGACTGTGTTTGCAGCATTGCCCTACTCAAACCACACAGAGCTCCTGCCAGAGCTGTGCTCAGAACCCCAGGCTGGCTCTTCCATGGCTCAGCACTCATTGCTGCAGTGCTGAGTACCTAGAACCTACCACAGAATTTGCTGAGAGCTAAAACTGGTCAACACCTCCAAACTGAGTTTGCATTTGTACATTTAAAATAGATTTTGATACATCTGAGCATACATAGAACTTGCGCTGCTTCATACATTCCCCCCAGTAATAGCCAGCAGTGCATTTTCGGGTATGCCTCTTTCAAAGGTCAGAAAAGCAACACTGATGCTGTTCGGTAAAAGCAAAGCACCGTGTTTATTCCACTCTGTGACCTGGAATATACATATTTACACACTGCACGCACTGAAAGAAGTGATCTGCTAAATGCAATCTAAAATTAGAACTATTTCTCCTATCTTATTCTCCAGAGCTGTATTATTTTTCCCCTAAAAATGATTAAAGCAAGATGTCCAAATCATTTTAGGGATGGTGAACAGTACAAGGCACTTGATTTCAATTTCAAATAAACACGTTTGCAACCAAACACAATTAGTACCCCCCAAAGTCTGTATTTTTGTATATTTTCTGAAGCGGTACAACAGCCGATAGGTGACTATGTGCTGCCTCCATTCGGACACAAAACACACAGGCTTTCATCTGGCCAGGTCCATCCAGCAAAACAGAAATCCTCTGAAAGACCTGCAGGGGACTGAGCTGCCTTACTGTGGTCACAGATTCTTCAAGGGAGAAGAGCGCTGGAAAACATTGCTGGTCAGAAAGTCCTTGAAAACAGAGCATGGCTCAGCTGGGGCTATCACCAAGAGACACAGAAATTCCTGCTTTTCTGGTATTTGAGCCAGATGAAATAGAGCAACACCCCAGACTCCATAGGTCTTTAATCAGCCTGTCCCACCTGTACCACTATCTCTGATGCATGCACAGACTCTCAAGCTCATGAAAGCTGAAGAGAAGAAGGGGCTGGCTCGCCATGCGAACCTAAAGAGCAAGGGGGAGAAGAAAAGAGAGAACATTTTGGGCTTCATTTTCTGAAAACGAACCATTTTCTGGAGCCACCTTCTCCGGAATCAGCATTTCTGAAGTTGAAAATTGACTGTGGCAGAAGTGTGACAGCAGAAGGCTGTGCAAGATAGAGGTTAATCCAGGTTTACAACCCAGACCTCGCTGAGAGCAGTGCACATGAAGGCACAGGGGTTGTGGCAAGCACCAGGAATTTGGGCCACAGCACTATCACCATCTCTATTATTGCAGCTTAACAGCTTTCAGGCTAAGCTGCCTTCCTATGCTCTGTTTTGCCTTATCAAATATGACAAGATTAGCGCTACCCAAGATGCTGAATTGACAGCTTTGAAGACTGAAACCTGCTCTCCATTGGGTGATGATAAACTGGGCAGAGACAACACAGACTTCCTACGGTTTTATCCTCAGAAGTGGAGCACGACTGGGACAGAGCAGGATACACCACAAAGGGAAGCTCAGTCTGTCTCTTACTCGGCCTTCAGTGCCTCTCCCTGGAGCCCCTGGCAGGGACAGTCATTAAGAATGTTCATTAGCAACAGTAAAACCACTACAGGGACCCAGCCAAGCATTCCCAAGAAGGGAAACTGGGAATCCTCTGTTCTCAATACCAGAATGCTTGTATACAGTAAACCAATGACTCCACACCAGGCTAGCACTTCTCGCTCGGTGAAGACTCCCTTCCCCACATCGCCCAATATCCCAGACAGCCCATATCCCATTCCAAACACATCCTTTGTCTCCTGCGCCCACACAATCAGAGCTAGCCCTATTTTGCAACAGAATCTCATTCTCAGTTAAGTGAACTGAAATGTTTATCACAATTAGCTGCTTCTTGGCAAGAACACATCATCAACCAGGAACATCTTGCAAACAGGGTTTTCTTTAAAAATGGAATTCATTTCCTCTTAACACGCCTCACCCACTTCCTGCGCTGGAGATTTGGGGCAATTTACGTCCTGCTCTTCAGCCTCCTCGTGGGGCTCGCTCCTGAAAGCCCAGAGACCATGAGCACTCTCACGTGAGCCTGCAAGTGCCATTTCAGCCGTGTCACGCCACTGACTTTTGCATCCAAAATTCAAAGGAATGAGACATCCAAACAGTACCTTTTGACGGGTGTAATGGACTGTGCAACAAAACGAACCATTCGATCCTCTCCTCTAAAACCTGATTTAAAGCCCGCTACGTTCTGCTCCTATTTGAATTCATATAAAACAAAACTTGTGAGTTAATTCGGACCCCTCCTGTTCAATCTTAGAGTCCCTTCGGAGCCCAGCGGCCTGGCCACAGTCACACACATGACAAAAATACGTGCCTCACTTCTGACCTGAAGAGAACCTAAAGTAAAGATGAATGGACCTAACGGATTGTGTGTGACCAAGTGGCATTCTGCGCACGCCTCCAACACCCCGACCACTAGATACGCTGGAAGTGACTGTCAGAGAGACCGTAACAATTGGTGCTGAGCTCCTGCACAGCAGTGGTATGATTTTTCTGCAGGGACATTAAATAAAATGCAAAGAGAAAGAGAAGGAGACTGCTACAGCCCCTACATTATCCAACAGGTCTTTTTGGTGTGGTTCCTTATCCCTACTCCTCATTTTACAACAGTAACAATAAGTCACTTTGCAATATTGCTTAGTTTGACACTTTCCACACTAAAAGACAGCAGAAATCATGGACCCCAGCCTGTCCTTGAGCAGGAAGCATACAGTATATATTAAATACACACCAGTCCCCTCCATTCCCACTTCAAGGAGTTAGTATATGCTTGCGAACAGAGCACTGGAAGGAAGTGATGCCGGAATGCAGAGGGAAGAGAGGGAAAAGCATTAAAACTTGTAAGAGTGACAAAATTTTAGAGATTACTGGAAAGTCAAATGAAATGTTCAAGGAGATCAGTATACAAGAGACAGCGTAAGGAGGAGCCAAAAAACTTACAGACTGATGTCTTCTGGTTGTTGTCCTTGCTGGGCATTAGCTTCACCCCTCTGGACTTCAGTTCCATTTGCTTTTTGACTACAGAGATTTAAAATAAAGCAAAGACAAGGAAAAGATTTAGCTCAGCTTTAGGAATTGCTTAAAAAGAAAATGAAGCAACAGATACACATGCTGCAAGACACCCTGCATCCACTCCTCACAGCTCCACTGATCCCAACCCCTCAAAACCACTGGGGTCTCCTTTGCATTGAGCATGTTATGTCTGGACTAGTGTCTTTGGGGATCTGAGCCAAGCTGACCAAATCTGAGCAATAAAATGGGACACAAGCCCCCTCATCTCCAGGGCACAATGCCATTTTGTGAACACACTAAGCTCAGGAAACACAAAAGGGAACTTCCAAGAAACATCAGGGATCCTGGGAATAAAACGCTGAGTTAGTTTCACCCAGTTCTCCTGATGCAGTTATTCCACGAACACATTCTGCTGTAAAGCCATTCTCTGCTTCTGTGGGAACACAGTGCTCAAATGAACACCCATAGCCTGAAGACTGCAAACATGATCTGCATAAATAGTGCACTCAGGCAGTAAGATAGCAGGAAAAAGAAGAGCCATATTAAACCCGTATTATTGGCAAAGTATGAATTTACAGAGCCACTATTAGTAGTCATAGGCACATCGATGATAAAATCTGCATCATGGCTCTACCAGAGGTCCTGTTGTGACCATCCGCTCTAAACGTCATCCAGAAGATGAGAAAACATGAGGGTAGCAACGAGACTTCCATCCATCCATCACCAGGGGAGTCCTGTCCTTCCCAACGTGAAAATTCCCCACGTAACCAAGCACCTATTTGTTTTTATTATCTGGACTTGGCTGTTACTGAGGCTCTCTCGACACAAGAGGGTTTGCACAAACCCCACACTGTCAAAACCATCTGGATCCTGGCATAGAGACAGACAGTGGCTTCCTGCAGCATACACATGGCTATTTTTTACTAACACACAGAATTTTAACTGGCATGTTTGAAGTTAATGTGGTTAAAGAACAACTTCCCAACAGAAAGCATGATGTCCAAACCACTTTATAGGATCCTTTTTCTGATGAGCCAGTCCTTATCTATGGAGAAAACCAGTCTGCCTTCCCCTTCAAACTGTTCTTTTCTCGTTCTTTATCTTGTCATACTTTCATCCCTAAATTAGCACATTTCTAAGACAAAGTTGTCAAGAAAAATTACTGATATAACTAACAAGGGTTTTTTAATCATGCTTTTCTTGGCTTTAAGGAAAAAAAATCTGTTTATAACATCTGTTTGCAGGAGCTTCAGACAGGGAGATGTCAAGCATTATTCCTTGAAGCTTACCAAAGTAGTGCTTTTCGGAGCTAGATGCTAGCTTGGAGCTTTTTGTTCATCATTTGGTTACAGCTTTCTGCTTTCTCTTTAAATAAAGCAGTTATGGGTCCAAACTGAGAGCTGCAACCACGACGGGGGGGGGGGGGCTCGCCGGAGCAGAGAGGGAGAATCCCCTCCCTTGACCTGCTGCTCACACTCCGGGGATGCAGCCCAGGGTATAGGGGGTTCTGGGCTGCAAGTGCTCACTGCTGGGTCATGGGGTGCTTCTCCTCACCCAACAAAATACTAGACTGGGATTGGGAAGAGTTTACAGGGTGCTTCTTACAGACACGTCACAGCACTCAAACCACCATCAGGATAAAGCGCTGAAGAGGACCTGTTCTGCTCATCCTCCATAACGCAGCAGTTAATGATTCTCTGGCACTTTTCAAGCAAGCACAAGGATAACCTCACAGGCACAGCCAGTGCTCCCTCCCAGTCAATAAAATACAGCCCAGCCCAAGTATCTAAGGCTAAATTTGAGCTGTTGCAAGACGCACAATGGCTCGTGACTTTGCAGTATCTAATTCACTGCGCTGGGAAGTGCTTTGGGGCACAATTGGTAACAGAGCAGCTTTATAAAAATAATCTCCATTTTTTATATTCTCTGCAACTTCCCATCCCAAATTACTTTATCCAATTACCAGTGATTGTTTCCCCAAGCCACACACAGAGAAGTACAGGTCTGCTGATTTCTGCATGATTAAGTAACCCTGTAGCCTTAAAGGACAAGGAAGGCTTTCCTAACACAAGTCTATGCCCTGTACCAGGTATTGATGCTGACACCATGGATGGGGCAATGCACTCCTGGGAGGGTCCGCTCTTGTCCTCAGGGAATGGACTGTTCAGGAGGATCTAAAGCAACCTGCGGTGATTTCAAAGGGCTGCTCATCACCACACAGTCCAGCAGAAGGAAATGGGCAGAGTTCACGGCTTCAACACATGTGGATTTGCAGGATTACACACTTTCATAAGGACACAATAACAAAGCCCTTTCTCCCTCCTGCCTTCCAGAAGCCAGCTAGCAGATAGAGCCCCACTCTGAGTTTGTGACTAATGGAAAGCCTGGCTCCAAAATACCCATCAGTAATGAAAACAAGCAGCAGAAACCAGACATTCATTACTAAGGATCAATCCTAAAATACAGAGACTAAACTGCATTACCCATGAAGTATACACTCCCCTAATTGCATTGTGTCTCATTCAACAATAATTGATAAAGAGAGATCACTATATACTCTCCTCTTAATCCCTCATTTTGTTTGCAACACGGAGACATAATGATGAAAGTCAAGCTTTACAAATGACTCAATTTAGATTAGAACAAGTCAGAATACAATATCACTTGCTTTAAAAAAAAATAAAGAAGAACAATTCTCCTACTCTATGCCCTCAAATTTCTGCTTTATGAAAATCTATTTTGTTTATAAATTTGAATGTGGAACATGACTACAAAGGACTGTGTCAGGATAATTGGATGAACAGAAATTCCTCTGTTTTCTGGAGGGTTTTTGCTGCTCACATGTATCTGATAGATCTAATGGAATACTCAGCGTCCTGTCACATTTGAGAGATGACATTACAAAGCTCTTCCAGCGAGCAGCAGTCTGCGGTGTTTCTTTTAAACCATTTCATGTTGCTCAAAATGAGAATTTAAGGAGACATTTATTTATTTTTAATTTGGAAAACAGCATTTCAGCAAAAATCCATCCCACGAACCTCTGTTCCCCTTGCTGGGGGGCTGCTATTAAATACAGATTCGTCTGAATCTCTTTTCCTCCTCCTGGGGTGTTTGAGTATCTTAGAATCCCAGCCTGATTTGGGTTGAAGGGACCTTCAAGCTCCTCCAGTTCCAACCCCTGCCCCGGGCAGGGACACCTTCCACTAGAGCAGGCTGCTCCAAGCCCCTGTTTCCAACCTGGCCTTGAACACTGCCAGGGATGGGGCAGCCACAGCTTCTCTGGGCACCCTGTGCCAGCGCCTCAGCACCCTCCCGGGCAGCAGCTGCTGCCTAAGAGCTCATCCCAGCCTCCCCTCTGGCAGGTTAAAGCCATTCCCCTTGTCTTGTCCTGACAGGCCCTTGTATCATTCTGAGACACTACAGCAGGTTGCTTACAGGGATTCCTACTCAAGATGAAGGTGAAGAGAAACACCCTCGAATGAATCCACTTCAAAATGCCTCATCTATGCCCTCCACCAGCTCCCTTAGGCAATGGCTTTTTAGGAATCAGAGCCTGCAACAACCACTCCAGTTTTCCCATCTCTGCCTCTCGCGGGATTGCCCAAGAGACCCAACAGGTCGCACAGCATAAGCCATAAACCCTTCGCAGCCTAAGCTGTGATTCAAGATGGATATTGACAGATCTGTCAAAAATTAAGCATATATATTTATAGATACGTACATATCCTTAAAAGCCATTTAAGTGGCAGGGTATGGACCAGAGTTCATCAGAACACTCCTCAGGGCAACAGGCCTGTGCATATTCTGCTCTGTGCTGCGGGCAACACTCACCCACATTCATCTTTCCACCAGAGTGTGGAGGACAGAAGGGGAAGGGAACGGGGTGGGGAGATTAATAACAGATGCAATTATGTGTTGGTAAATCAGCTAAAAAGCAATTTGGGATCCAACTTGTGTCATAAAGTATGTGGAGAGATAGACTACACCAGCCAGAGCAGTATTTAGATCTGTTTAGCATCCCTTTAAATTCAGCAGCACTTTTATGACCTCATTCACAGCCCCTCATCACGATGTGACATGGGGGATGACAGGGCACACCTGGCTGTGCTGTCACCTGGCCCCACTGAGGCACTTCTACCTTATTTTCTTATCACATGCAGGTTTGCTTACCCCTTTTTGGGGAAAGAAGGCGGAAGGAGTGGAAGGAAGGAAAGGAGATTGATGCACTGATTTCTCTACAGTCCATTTTATTTGCTTTTACAGTGCACGGG